ACCCTAAACCCTAAACCCTAACTACGGTTCAGGGATCTTGGATCTGGGGCTTCAGAGTGTTCCCAGGCCTCAATCTGAGCCCACAACCAGGAAGCCTTCGCCTACTGTAGGGTTTAGGGTTTAGGGTTTAGGGTTTAGGGTTTAGGGTTTAGGGTTTAGGGTTTTTAGAATAGGGTTTTAGGGCCCAATATACTATAATTGTAATGAGGAACCCCCCAAAATAATATAGGTACTTATTCAGGCCCCTACATTACCAGACTTCTCCCAAGAACCCCGAACACTGCAACTTTCAACCGAGTTCCCGACAGTGTCTTGGCGGGTGGCCGCGCGCTTGGCCTGAGATCACACTTCTCTCCTTTGGCCCTTGGATTCGAACATAAGCATCATAAGAATAATTTGGAATAATGGCTTTGACAGCCGTTTAGGTCTTTATTGCAGCAAACAGGAAAATACTTCCACCGTGGAGCCCAGCTTTACATCCGCTTGTGTTCAGCTCTTTCGCTGAAGGTTGTCTTGGATCGGGTTTTTGGGTCCTGGATTCGGGTTCGCTCGGGTCTTGGATGTGGGCTCTAGATTCTAGATGTCGTTTTTTGGGCTTTCGGGTTTACGAGTTTTGCGTGTTCGGGGTTTCAGGTCGAGGAAACTTTAAAATATTTTAAAAGCCGATTGAATTCCGTAGACAACATCGCGTGGACGCGCACTCTACGGTTTCTTAAAGAGGACAAGACCCTCTGCAACCCTCAAATGACTGTAGCCTGGCGAGAACCAAGAGAAACGGTACCCAAGACCCCAAAGAGTCCGGAAAGCCTGAGGCTGTAGACTCCGCACCTTTTTGAAAAAGTGCCGGCGTCATCTGGCCGCAGTCCGTCTCGTCTCGGGCCGTGATGGCCCTAGAAACATATAATTAATTCCATCGGAATCCGGAAGCTCAGACGGATCCCTCCCCTGTCTGTTGCAGGGGCGTCTCTTGGCTCCTCCAAAGGGGGTCAGGCTATCGGGGGAGAGAGGACTCTTCTGTGATTTCCCGTATCAGACACAGGATCTTACATCTTTTCCTGATATCTGAAACACTCTAGATTCCTGGCCTCAGAGCTCCCGATGTCCATGCGACTCTACAGCTTCTCAAGCTTGTCCTCATTCATATCCTTGGCTGTCCAGCTCCCACGATAGACGCCGAGACTTCGATTCTTGCTAAACTTATTCTACATAAGCCCACAGGTCAACCGCCACCAGGGTTTAGGAGCTCGGGCAAACGAAGCAGAAAAAGCTATACCCCGACCGAGAATCGTGAGGCATGTAGTCGTAGCACTTGTCTTCTTGGCAGAAACCCGAGATGCACTCGTAGTCTCCACCGCAACTTTCGTCCGCCTAGCAGGATCGGGGTCCGCTTCCAGTCCAGGATTTAGGTTGAAGGAAGCACCAGAGAGCGACCCAACCCTGAACCGGAACACCCTAAACCCAAAAGCCCTGAACCTTCAAGACGCAGGGTTCAGGGTTCAGAACCGCGTAGGGCTCCAGGGCTGCAGAGCTTCCCAAAAAGCCAAAACCTTTTTAGGGTTTAGGGTTTAGGATTTAGATTTTAGGTAACTGCCTCCTTCTTTGGTCGGCAGCCGTTGTTCTTGGAGCCATCGGGGGTAGCCTCGCGGTCGCACCACTTCGCAGAGGTGTCAAAGAACTCATAGCCTCACGCTTAGGGTTTAGGGTTTAGGGCTCAACACTAAGGTTTCACCCGAGGTGTCCTGCTATTGAGAGTCCAATCTTGGGGGCGTTCAAGGCGGAGGCTTGGCTTTATCTACTAGCCAGAACCGTACGGCTTGATAATACCTAGACGACACTCTAAACCCCGAAACCCTATACATCCTGCAGCCCTAAACCCTAAACCAGGCTGTTCCTTTCTGCGACTGACAGAGTCATCTGAAAATAGCAAATCCGAAACCTGCGCCATAGGAACTGCAATAAGGTTATACTATTATATCGTAGGAGAGTAGGGAACATCATTGCTAATTGTTCAGACCCTTGTAGTAACAGCCTTCAACCTAAACTCTAAACCCTAAACCCCAAATCCTAAGACAGGAACCCAAACCCCTAAACTGAAAGCCGGTACAAGCAGCTCATGCAATCTTCGCAGGTCTCGGCGAACTTCGTATCCAGTGTCTCGTACCAGCACCAATCCTTCGTTCGAACTGGGGCTCAGGAGCTAAGGTATAGAGCAGCCTAGGGCTTAAGATTTGGGATGTACTTAGAGGATCATGGGACTTAGTAAGTAAGGTTCGGGACTTAGTTGGGGTTACAAGTATAGTTACCTTAGTTATCTCTCTCTCTCTCTCTCTCGATTGCGCAGAGCAAGTCCACAAGGGAGACTACTCGTCAGCAGCCCTTTTACCTTAGTTATAACCCTACTTTACTAAGTCCCATGATCCTTTAAGTACCCTAAACCCTAAACCCTAAACCCTAAACCCTAAACCCTACTTTACTAAGTCCCATGATCCTTTAAGTAGGGGATTATTTCCAAAAAATTGAGGCTCAAGGGTTCGAGCTGTCGGGCCGCAAGCCCTCAGCTCTCCGTTCCGGATGTCCTAACATTAGGATTTAGGGTTTAGGGTT